TCCCCTTTGAAACAACTGGCGGTGTTTTCATGTCAAGTGTGATATGGCCAATGGCAGTCGAGGTGTGTCAGTTGAATCTGGAAGGATTACCTCCGCTCTGCATATGACTGTGTTTTCCAAGCCCATCTTCTGAATTACTGAGAGTTGAAGTAGGTTGACTGCACTTCCATTGTCAACCCTCATTCTGTCGACTATGGCATGGGCCAGTTGGACAAATACCACCAACGCGTCATCGTGCAGAAAGTCGACACCTTCGGCATCCTACTCAATGAAACCAACAATGGGTCCAAGTTGGGTGTCGACTGCTTAGACTTGCGAAACTAGTAGAGTTTGTTAGATCTTCCATTTCTTTGAATTATTGGTGGCCCCCAAATGTTCATATTTGGTGAACATGCCGTTAATCCGGATTGTCTTGTTGAGCGGTTCTTCATCTGCATCCGCGTTTCTTCTAGGCTGCACAGCTGGTTTGTCCAAGTATCTGTCGACTTTACCTTCCTTCATGAGCTTATCTAGGTAATTCTTCCAGCTGTAGCAGTTGTCGGTTATGTGACCGGGACCTCGGTGGAATATGCAGTACTTGGTGTGATCCAACTTGGAAGTATCTCCTTTTGACTGCTTCAGCAACTTGAGCCATGGTTTTCTCTTAATGTCACGGAGGATTTGGTGGATCGAGATCGAGAACTTGGTGTAGTTCTTAGATACCAAGCTCTATTTAGTTATGGGTCGATCCTTACGTTTGGCTTCCTGCCTGTTTTGGTTGTACTACTTCTCGTTCTCATTCTTTTGAGCCACTATCGACTTTTTCCATGGTTGTTCGGGCGTCTTATCTGTTCACCAAGCCTTGTCCCAAAGTGCATGCTTCTCTACCAGAGTGAAAAAGTTTGCCAGGGTTAGATCTTCTTTCATGATCAACTCTCTAAACAGTGGGTGGTCTACTAAGAGTCCCTTTTGAAAGGATGCGCTTGCTATCGAATCATCACATCCTACTATCTTCGCCTTCTCTACTTTTAACCTATTCATGTAGTTGTGAAGTGACTCCTTTAGGTTCTTCATCACATTAAACAAGTGGTCAAACTTTTTCTTGATCGAGCGGTATGATGAATATTCTTTGGTGAAAACCAAGGAAAGTTTATCAAAGCTCTGGATGGATCGTGGCGGTATGGTGTGGAACCAATCTTTCGTCTTGTCTTGTAAAGTGGTGGCAAATATTTTACACATAAGAGCATCGTTGTTCTGATAAAGGACCATCGCGCTTCGGTAGTGCTTCAAATGCCTTTCCGGGTCTTCACGTCATTTGACGGATGAAAAATGTGGCATGCTAAACTTGCATGAAGGATCTGCCTGCTCGATCTCATCCATGAAATGTGACCTGTTTGTATTGGTCGTGTCCCGTCGTAGTTCTTCATCGGTGACTTTGTTGCATTGAAAATCATGCAACTGCTCGTTTAAGAGTCTGTCTACCTCTTCTTGAATCTTCCTTTGTTAGGGTAGTAGAGCTCTCGGCTGCCCACGATCTTGACCTACTGGTCTAGGATACTCTTCTACATGATTTGCTCTTCGATGTGGTAAAGGTAGTGCACGTGGTTCTTTCCCAGCAAGCGAGGGAATTCTTCGTTGGCTGCCGGTTGAACTCGAGCCTAGAGTGATTGCTTCTCTCCATTTGTTGTGCTACCTACTCTGATGTGAGGTGGAAGATGCTCCTTGTAGACCTAGCAGCGAATAAACACTTCGCCTAGAAGATTGTCCATGTTGATCACCGGAGTGTGGTCTCAATCGTGAGTGTATGCTCGTTCGTGGGCCTAATCTGGAGTGCATGCTTTTGCGCATGCTAGGATAGAAGTATATGCTATCTTGAGGGCCCAGTCGGGAGTGTACATTGCTAGAATGCTCAGTTCATGGCTGGTTAAATGGTTGCTTACCAGGATGCTGCTGGAGAGGTTCTTTGCCTGCCCTTGTCCCATTTTGGGACACTTCGCCTGGGCAAGTTGCATCTCGGTGTGTGCTACAAAAGCTGATTCACCAAGGTCGTCTAGAGTGCAAGGGCGCTCGTCAATTCTATGCCTTGTCGAGACAAATGTTGTTCTTCATTTGGGTTGGAAGAGCTTGGAAGGAACGCGTCTCCTTGAGCAATAGAAGTGTGGTAGACTCCGGACGTGAGATTTGAGTTGGGAAATGTCAAATCCGCAGAGAAATATGGTGAAAATGCCCCGGTTCAATCATCGGTCTAGAAATTTGAAGTCGGGACGGTTGAACCGGTCCTGGACTTATTTGGGCTGCTGGGAAGGCCACGAAAGTGGGTTGGGCAATGGGAATGGGTTCCTCAGTGTGCAGAGCACGTGGGTACGAGGCTAGGGCTCAGTTCAGCAACGTGTTGGAATCTAGTTAGGCTTGAATGGCTTGGGCCGACTCACCTTGGGCTTAGGCCCTTACGGGCTTAGATGGCATAGCTTGGGCCGTGGTCATGGTGTCGTGGACCTTGCTAAGGGTGGCTGTCGTGGTGGCCATTATGGTGGTTGCTACGGTGGTGCCCCATGAGGGTGGTGCTGCTTCATTCATCGTCGTGTTTAGCCTTGTGGATGGTCGTGGTCCAAATCCTTGAACGTAGGAAGTTCCGACCATCGTGGTTTACGATTTTCTAGTCATTGTACTTTTCTTTTACGTTTTATAAAAGAATTTTTATCAAAGAAATTTGCATCCTAAATAAAAAATCCAAGAATAAGAATGTACGAAAAATCTACAAATAAGCAAGAAAACAAAAAACCTTGAATGCAAGAGTCTTTTTCGAGTGTTTGATCAAGACTCTCCATGAAAGCACCAATTTATGGATGCAAATTTCCGCCTTCTTTTTCTTGGACAAAAATGCACCTGCAAAACAATTAACATCTTAGGTCAAGGCCAAGAGCCTCATGCGCCCACGATGACTAGGGGGGCTTTGGCCAAAGAACATCCAATGCCAAAGTTAGAATTTGAGGGAAAAGTGTTTAGAGAAATTTGGAGAATTTTGCAAGAGAGTTGGAATTAGGTTTTGAGGAGAAATGGGAGCTATTTATAGGGGTGTGACCAGCCCTTATTTGGAGAAAAGGGGTACGGCCACTTATGGTGGTTTTTGGGTGTAATTGCAAGATATTATGTCAAAATAATATCCTGCAATCAATTAGGAAATTAATTAGAAAATTAATTAATTAATTAATTAGGAAATTAATCAATTAATTTAGGTAATAAATCCTATTTAGAATGAATAATTGAAGGTTACCTTGTGGGGGAGGATTTGATGAGGATGGATAAAATAGGTTTTGAATAAGTACCTATTTTGATCACTTTTGACCATGATTGAGTTGTGATTGTCCGCTGCTTACGCGAAGGAGTTCTGGTGTGCCTTGAGGGTAATTTTGTCTTTTTACCCGAGAATCATATGTCGCCTCCATATTTTTCTCGATTATTTTTGGCTCCACACAATGTAGTCTTTCGTGAATAAAGACTCAACCATATGGTTTAGAGCTTTAGAACCCGTTACAAAAAATTAAATAAATAAATAAAAAAAAGGAGAAATTTAAATGATACTAGCCAATGCTATAATACAAGACAAATTCGATTTTGCACTACCTCATGCATTTGTTGGAATTCCAATATACTTAGAATTTATTCTATACTTCCATTAAGTACAATGTAGTCTTTCGTGAAAAAAAAAAGGGCTCAACCATAGGTCTGAGACCTTTGAAACCCATGACGGTGGTATCCTTTTCATGTTCTTCCACATGCAAGACATCCAAGTAACTTTTGGAACTTATGACGGAGGTTCCTCTCCATGCTCTTCTCATACTTACTTCTCTGATTTTTACCACCAATACTACTCCCTAGACCTCCATAATTGAAGGTGCACCTCCTTCCCCTAACTAGTCGTGTGGGCCTAAGCACCATCATCTTCTAGTTGTGAACTCAGGCCCATAGCCATGCCTTTGCTGCTGCTGCTTTTCATGAGATCCTTGGGGACTTTGTGTAAAGTGGTGAAAGGGTAGGGTTTGGGTAGTGGGAAAATGGGGCATTGAAGCAAAAAAGAAGGGGAGAAAGAAGAAGAGGAAGAGGAGGGCACATAGGAGAAAGAGGAAGAGAAAGGTACTGGGTAAAAAGAGGAAAAGGAAGAGGGAGGCATAGATTTATAATTGATGGATAGGGGTTTGCCTAACGAACCATTCAGTCGGGCAAATATAAGGAAAACATCAAGCAAAGGTTGTGTCGGTAGATATTTACTACACATCAGTATGGGCTTTTGACCAACGATAGTAGATTGTAACCGACAAATAGTGTTGCTGGGCAGAGCCTACCTAGCCAACGAAGACAGGATTCATCAGGCAAACCGTCTGATCGCCATTTTTTCCCTCTTCAAGCCAAAATGTTGCCCCGAAGAATTTTGACTTGCCCTACGAATATTTTCTGTCACCTGATTTTGGGTAAAACCTGAATGTTGACCATCTTCGCCTTATCAACTGAAATATCCGTCAGGTAAAGAGACTTTACCCGATGAACTCTTGTTGGGCAAAAGTTTGTAGGGAAAGCCCCATTTTCTAGTAGTACACTTGTCGTATCATGTGGTACATCAATATGATACAAAAATGTAGTAACTTAATTTTAATGGTTACTGAAATTCTCCATACGATCAAACCGATTACTAGAGAGTATATATGTTCGCATACAAAGAAATATAACAAAAAATTATCATCTTTTTGAAAACTCATGAAAAATGAAATTTAGGGCCACTTTCACAATAACCTTGCCTAAAAAGTTCTTATTTTACATAGAAAACACAGTCCTAAACTTTATGTATCTTCCACCTCATAAACTATTTTCCTACCCCACTTGCCTTGAACTTTTTATGGATCTCTGTAGCTTCAAAGGTTCTTCTCTCAACACTATAAGTATGGGGTATCTCCAATCCAAAGCCAATTAAGAAACCAGCTGCTTCCTCAGGAAAAACAGAAGGGTTGTAATCTTTGAGAGATATCATGGCAACGATGTCATCAGATCCTCTTGTGGTTGGGAGAGTTATTGGAGACGTTGTTGATTACTTCTCCTCCAGTGTAAGAATGACAATCACATACAACTCGAACAAGGTGGTGTATAATGGGCATGAGCTATTTCCTTCCTCAGTAACCATCAAGCCTAAGGCTGAAGTTCATGGAGGCGATTTGAGGAGTTTCTTTACACTGGTACGTGCATGTCACCCTCCCAGCTTCTATATATTCTCTTGTTATCATGTTTATATATACCATAATTTATTTTCTTAAATAAGGATTTAATTTAAAATAGGTATTTTGTTCTTTGTAGGTCATGACGGATCCAGATGTTCCAGGCCCTAGTGACCCATACCTGAAGGAACACTTACACTGGTAAACCCTTCCCTGAAGAGATGATCATAAAAATGCAATCTTAAATAAGGAAAATAAAATAAAAGGCAATCATTTTCCCGGCCCTAGAGACTCATATCTGAGGGAACACTTACACTTTTACCAACCTCTAATTAATTAACTTGAGCATAATATTATATCCACCTGAAGATTAAAATATGAAACACTAACCTTTTATACCGCAGAGAGTCAGTTATTCGGGGTTACCAATATATTTACAAGACATCGAGAAAATCATGCAAATTATAATCTATATATGCGTCTTTTTTATATAACATAAAATTAACTGCGTCCTTGAATCTTACTGATCTTTTTCTTTTCCAATAAGTTTGTATGTTTCATGATTGACCTGGTAAATTTATCTGGGCTTTTTTGTCCTGTTAGAGATGGCCTGATACAGGGAGTTTCTATTTCCTTATAATTGTTTTTGGATAAAACCTACATAATCAGAAGACAGAAGCTTCTATTGCATACTCATGAATTCAGTGTGATAATTTTGTTAAAAAATTTGGACTAAATAATTGGCCTTCTTGATTATAGGATTGTGACTGACATCCCAGGCACTACTGATAACACATTTGGTAAGTCCATTATGTTCTGAGAGAGATAATGAATATGATTTTTTGTTTGTTTGAACGCGAGATATATAATTAAAAACAGGAAAGGAGGTGGTGAAATATGAAATGCCAAGGCCAAACATAGGGATCCACAGGTTTGTGTTTCTTCTGTTCAAGCAGAAAGGCTGGCAGACAGTGATCCCTCCTGCATCAAAGGACCACTTCAATACCCGAAAATTTGCAGAGGCAAATGACCTTGGCCTTCCTGTGACTGCTGTCTTCTTTAATGCCCAAAGAGAAACTGCTGCAAGGAGACGCTAAAACAATAGCACTAACCGAAAAAATCAGCTCTGCTCTCCAAGTTGTACCTTGAAATGGATTGTTTACAATAATTAGTAGGGGACCGGTCGGTTTAAAATTTGTGCTAAGTGCACCCTCTTGCTTTATTAACCTAACGAAAGTTTGTAAATTTATGGTTGTGTACTTTATGTGACTTTCTCCAAAATAAATATAGTAATATGGAAAAATTATAATGTACGACTGAATTTCTTCACAAATTCATATTCAAAAATAACAAATTAAGTAACCTATAGGCCGGCGGGTGGCCCTTTACCGCTTGAGGGGCCGGGATAGGTTATCATGAACCGCTTGAGGGAGGAAATGGTAGACTGTCATAGTAGGCCGATGACTTTAGTCCGATGAAATAGCCTATTTTTTACCATTGCTTTTGAAAGATAGTAGTCCAGCGGCATCTTAAGTAAATGGTCTAAAGAGAATATTTCTATAGAAAACTTCATTTTAATAGTTGGAAAAGATCACTTTTAGACTATAACTTTGTGTAAGATTAATATCTAATTAAGCTACTTAGTATTACGGTTTAGAGATAAGAGGTCTTAAGCTCGATTATCGCCAAATGCGAATTTGAACTGTATTATTACTAACTCATTGTGAGGCTAAGTCCATCCGCCTCCCCCTTAGTGTAGATTATGTCATTTGTTTAAATAAAAAAAAATCTAATTAATTTTTGTCCCTTGATACATTTAATCACCTCATTTATTAATTATATTTTGATGTTTTATTTCTCTTTATTTCTAATTTTAATCTGTTAGTTACCTTTAATCCTAATTTTCATTTCAATCATTATATATTTTGGTGTAGACATATAGGTAAACTAGTTTTTTTGTATAATATATTCCGATACAATTTGTGTTCTTCATTTAGGTACATTAATTCATTTAATATATTTCAATTTGTATTCATTGATACATTTAGGTACATTAATTATTCATAATACATTTCAGTACTTCCATTTTGGTACATAAATTTTGGTATATACATTTAGGTACATCAATCCATGTTAATATTTTGGTACACTTATTTATTTATATATTTTTCTTACATGTCACCTTTTTTGTGGAATGTATCTCATTTAGGTACATTTATAAGGATATATTTGGAGGGAGTTAAACAAAATTACTATATTAAAATGTGTATACTAAAAAATTTAAATATTTAATTATGGGAGACATTGAAAAAATACACATTAAATGTTAGGATTAAGAATGTAAAACCCCTCCACATTTTAGAGTCATTTTAAATTGGTCCTAACTTTTTTAAATATTTTAAACAAGTTTCAACCTATTGCAATGTCACATCCATTAAGACCTAGTTAATTTTTTAAACATAGATTATATTAAAAACCAACCAACTTGGTATATCATGGTCAACATTAATGGTAGTTGCCTCAAAATTTAATTTTCAAATATAAATTATATAATATGGAACCCAAATTGATGAAACAGGTATTGAATTGAATCGAAAATGGATCCAAATAGAAATTACATCAGGAGGGCAATCTCCTAACAAGAAAGAGGATTAAGAATTCAGATGCTCATGTGATTTCATCATTTGCAAATTCTTAGCTCGTGAAGCTTCTAGTTTTTCTTTGTGGGCATGAAGATGGTGATAGCCACATCATGGCAGTCCATACTATTTTAACAACCTCCATAACCTTTTTCTAGATGTTGGCGGCTTGAGTTGTAGGGTGGAGTTGGTGGTTTTGCGTTGTATTTGGTGGTGATTGGCTAACAGGGGTGGTAGTGATCGTTAGTTGGTGGAGGCTATACTTTCATGACCTTCTATTGATTTTGGATACAATGTAAGCCCTACTTAATTTAACAGATTTTTAACTGGGGCTTGATGGATGTGACATTTTCAATAGGTTCGGTACTTGTTTGAAATGTTCAAAAAAGTTGAGATTAATTTGGAATGACAATAAAAAGTTGGGGAGCTTTAGATACTTAATTCTAAATATTGAAACAAAAATAAAATATGAAGTTGAATTAAAGTAGACATCAAAAGACTATAACCAATATATAATCTAAGCACTAGGTTTTAATCAAAATTTCAATTTTTTCAAGAATTAAATGACACACCCCGACCCCAATAACACAAGTTACGAGGCCGTGATGTTGGCTATCACTAAATTGACCATATGTCCCCATTGAGAGATGACGTCACAAGCCAACCTAGTAACGAAAGTCATAGTAAGATAAACATCGTGTGAGTGAATTTGAACCAAAATGTTCATTACTAATAAGAGTTGCTACAAAGTTTCCTAATCAACCTCCCCAATTGGGGACACATGTTCGGGGATTAAATCTCGTTATTATCACATCACATCAGAGCAGCTAAAAGTTTCACAAAACAGTAAACACATAAAAGTGCAGTTATGCATAATCGAAATTAGGATTACATGTTTGTTACAAACTAGAACAGACCGGAGTAAAGGAATCATCACCAAAAGTCCAAAGGATAGATGCCTCACTACCAAGTCCACTCGTCACCTTTGGGGTTCTTATTCTTGTTACGTCCTGAGGAGTTGAGAAACAAAGCGTGAGTTGATCAAGTTTATCTAGTTAAAATCATTGAATATAATAATCCCCGTTTTGAAATTACATATATAGTAAAAACGACATACATATAATACTACAATAATAGTAGTCAAGTTCACATCACATCACTCGTCATATCAAAGAAAGTAATATCAACCACAAGAATCAATAATTGTTTCTTTCTATGTATAATATATTATTTAGAAATACAGGATTTTTAAACTTTAATGTTACAACCCTAATTTTGCCCCTAAGTGGGTGTCTTGAGTAATTTTCGAGACTCGAAATCCAATTTCTTATAATTTCTTATGTTTTCCTTCATTTTGAAAATAGCTCTCTCTCTCTCTCTCTCTATCTTTAGCTCTCTCTCAAGCTCTGAGAGCCCCAAACCTCACTACCACCTAAATTCCTCCACAAACTTACATTTTCGAGAGCAATGGGACTCAGGGAACTCGGTGATGGTCTTGCATGCGTCATCGGACCACCGTGAGGTGCAGTTCCATTGAAGCCAAGAGCTCCGAGGTCTAACCTTAAACCCAGGTGACGTTCCTTGTTATGCTTTGCATTTCTGGGTTATTATCTTGATTAGAGACGATTTTTAGCTGGTTTTGAGCTTGAATTCGAGGGTTTTAAACCCTATCATTTCTCTGTGCATGCAAGGCCAGCTCCGGCGACGAATTCCGGCAAAATGTCGTTGCGTTCGAGGTCGGTTGGATTCAGTGAAGGCGCTGTTGCAGAGAGCATACAACACGTTATTGCAGAGAGGAAGAAGCCGTTGTGAGTGATAGCGAGTCCTCTGGATCCTCTTGTGATGATTTGCTGAATCCATAGAGGAGGTGGGGGAGCAAGAGGAGGCGAAGGGTGGGAGGTAGGGAAATTTTGTTAAATGATGAGAACAAGAAGAGCAGATAGCTGCTGAAGAGAATAGCAAAGCCAATGAGAACATGTGGGTATTTTGGGAAGAAAGGTTTGATTCCGGATGAAGTATTCTCCCCGGAATCTAAATACCACCTTCATTCAGGTAATCCAATTCTGAAGAATTCCGAATATTAGATGGACCCCGCTTATTTACTGGTTCCTCAAATGTTAGTAAACGCCGAAATTCTTGGAAAGGCGTGCAATTCCAATTACTCCTCATTCCTACCCCGTTTCGTAATCACGCCACAAAAGTCTAAAATTACCAATTTTGAGAAGAGAGAAATGAGATCCTAGTGGTTCCATTTATTCTTCGATTGATATTTATCATCTCTATATTAGACTACGAATACGAGAATTTGAACTAGGGAATAGATAAGAGGTAGTACAATACATGCTCTAGCCAACTTATCATTAGTAATTATTATTGTATTATTATTTTCGACACATACTCTATTAATGTTGACTTCTTATAACTCCTTAAATTAGAGAGCATGATTGGCCTAAAAATTGTACAAGAGTTTCTATAATATCTTTACAGTCTTTTATTAGGGTGCTACTATTGCTACTCTGCATTCTCTCAGAAAAAAAATATATCAGAGAAATAATGGTAGAAGGAGGGCATGATGACTTTTTGAAAGTGCTAATAACAATTTCCTTTAATTATTTTAACTTAAAAACTATGGAGCATGGTAGTATAATCTATGACCCTAAACCCTAAACTGTAATCTCTAAACACTAAACCCTAAATTTTAAAATCATTCACATTTAAACACCAAAAATAACCACACGCCTTATGTATGAAAGGCTAGTGGAGTACGGGAAAGTATGTAATTTTCGGAATGCCACAATCAAAAGCCATAGATTTGCTCGCCCGATTATTGAACAGAGAGTTAAAAACCTAGACCAACATGATAAAATAAAATGAACAGAAAATATTCTTTAGGCAACCAAAAAGCGTACTAGTGGCAGGTGTTGGGGGACTTTTAGGTCAAAGTGGACTTAAGCTTTGAGAATGTCCTCGTCTCCTTTGGTTCGGTTTCATACCAAGCTCGAAATTTCTCGAAATAATTAGCATGTCTTAGGAAATATCCCAGAAGGATCAATGATCCAAAGATAGCATGATTAATCAAATAACGACTTGCTCAAGTGAGGTGTGGTGTGGAATGTGGATGCAAATTTCCACCATCGTTTGATTGACGAATTTGCGCCTACAAAGTAATAATGCCTAAGATTAAGGCCAAAAGACTCACGTGCCCATGATGAATGAGGGGGGGCACTTTGGCTGAAAAATCTCCGATGCCAAAGTTAGAATTCTGAAATAAAAAATGTGTTTGAGTGTTTGAGGGAAGCCAAAAAGCCTCTTTTGGGGTAGCTAAAGCTTATTGAATTTTGGAGATAAAGGGTTTATTTATATGAGAAAAATGGAGGAGATGGGCTGGCCCTATAGGGTTTAGGGGTGGCCGGCGCTAGGCTTGTGTTTAAGTGGGAACATTCCAAGATATTTGTGTAAATAAATATATTGGAGTAATTAGGTAAATATCCTAAATAAATGGGATTATGATTACTTACTTGGAAGAGTTTTTCTCTAATTAGGAATGTATTTATAATAAGAATAAGAGATTATTCTATCATAAAAACCTTTGACTTTTCCTATATGCAGGGGCACCTTGAGCACTCGTTGA